AGAGGTGTGTGAAATCCAAAAGAGACATGTATTAAGATAATTTAATCATGTTTATCCCAACGTTAGACCAAACAAAATACATAGGTGATACAATAAAATACCCGCTATTAATTATTTATATGTAATTCAATTGTAACATAATTTATCGATCTTATTTACTTTAGTTGTTGATTGAATCACATATTAGTTTTAGATAAAATTTATTATCAATTCAATAGTTGTAGTTTAACAAACGATTCCACATAACTTTGGTCTCATTCGACCATGTCTTTTGTGCGGGATGTTTTTCGTACAATAAATAAAATAAAAGCAGCTCTTTCTCTTTGTGAACTCGTGTTTACCTTGAAAGTTGACGACCTGGTGGCAAAGGAACGGCCAAAAGTGGCCTAAGGAGTGGTGATGAGTTGACCTTCAAGCTGTCTGATCGATGTCAACGGGCTAAAGTGTTTTTCGGTGTATCCTAGCACTCAAAAGAAGGGTTGAAAGGGTGTCAGAGTGTTTCCGGCGTATCCCATTCGACGGTCAAATCAGCTCTTTAAGAGAGGAGAAGAAGAAAACACTATTTGGTATTCTAGAGTAAATTTGCGTACCTTTACTTTGTATTTGTGAGAGTTATTTATACCTCCATAGAAGTAATCATTGTGGACAAGTGGATCCCTTGTAGATGAAGCCCCTTATTGGTCCTTTTGGAAGGCAGCCTGTGGAACACAATCCTAGGGCAGAGTGTCTTTCTTGTCACACGAAAATAAATCTTTGCATTTAATGCTCAGATTCCCGAGTATTTAATGCATTCCTTCCGAATTCCGCCGAGTAATAAATGTGTCACATCCTTTTAAGGGATCATTTAATGTCCTTTGTTGTAGATGCACATATACTGGGACATTTGCGTCTTTTGCCATCAAGGAGGTCGCATTGTCTGGACTTCGTATTTCGTGGAGTCTCTCTATTGGTCACTAAGTTGCCTATCTTGTCATTCTGACTACCTTAAGAAGAGGATTTGATTATTAACAGCCACCCCCACCTTTGATGTGGTGATGCCATTTTTGACTTTTCTAAGAACTCCATTTTCGCCATAGCCCAAGTCCCAAGGTAATCGCCAACACCTTAGCAGAGTGGAGGTCTAGACGCCGAGAACACGTGTCAGATGGAGGTCTCTTCAGAGAATTTTGGGAGTCGAGGATAGGTGTCATGCGATGAAAACTCCGAGATACCTTTAGTGTCGAGGTGACATGTCATGTGAAAAGTGTTCCGCAAAAAAGATGTTGAGGACTCCAAGGTATTTTTAGTGCCATTGTGACATATCATATGGAGAGTGTTCCACAGACAAGATGCCGAGGACTCCACGAACAACTTGTCACGGGTTCCGAGGTGCTTTTAGTGTCGAGATGACATGTCATGTGGAGAGTGTTACACAGACAAAATGTCAAGGGCTTCACAAACAACATGTCGAGGACTCAAATGTGCCTTTAGTGCCGAGGTGACATGTCATGTGGATAGTGCTCCGCGGGCACGATATCGAGGACACGTGTCGTCCAAAAAATACTCCGCGACTAATACGTCGAAGACACGTGTCTCACTCTCTTTGAACACAAAAAATGTCCCATCACCTTTGAACGAACGATTCAACAAGTCTTAATGTTGGATTAGATTCATTGTTTTTCAAGTACTTTTTGTAAAATAAAATTTGTTTTTTATATTTATTTTTTGTGTTCGACCACTGAATATTTTCTAATTTAACACAACACATAATTAATTGGAGTTGGATAAGGTTAATCGGCACATGAGACGCATGTTATCCGGTAGGACGGATTGTGAGACCACGTTCGACTAATAATGTTGATTAGATCATGTGACCCAGTAGGGTTTCCAACGTGACCCACTGGGGCTTCCAGTGTGGATTTGCCAATACCTTTCCTTATGAATGACAGCAGAAAAGACCAAATTAAATCAGAGTGTCTCGAACGTTAGGGGTGGTCAAGTTTGTTTTCTAAGTCTTAACGTCGATATTTCTCGTACTTTTTAAAAGTTAGTCTTTTTTATTTTTTAAAGAATATGTTCTTAAATTAACTCTCGTACTTTTTAAAAGTTAGTCTTTTTTATTTTTTAAAGAATATGTTCTTAAATTAACTCGAACTCGAGAATAGTCAACAAAAACTTATACACCCCGTAATAAATAAACAAAAGAAAAAGAAAAAAGAATTACAGTGTGTTGTCATAACTTATGACAATGTTATATTGATAAAAAAAAATAGAATAAAAAATTGACATTCGAATGTAATAAGTAAATTTTAAATTTTCAATCATTAATAATGGGTTAAAGTTATCAGTATTACAATATCATAACATTTTGTTTTTTGTTTTTCTTATTTTCTCTATTAGTTTAGCATTATTTTTTATTTACAAGATTGTTGGTCGAGGGGGGAAAAATAGGAAGCTAAAAGTAGTCATTTTTCATGTTAGAATGGTTGTTTTTTTTTTTTTTTAAATGATAGTTTAATTAAGTTGAAAAGTTAGTATCTTAACTCAGCAATTTTAGCACTTTATCTACTTTGTGATGAAAGGATGAAGTCTACATTTTCCATGTGCTGTCTTTTTTTTTTCTTTTCAACATTAGTCGGCTTAATTTCTTGCATCTTGACTAAATATTTCTCTATCCGATCAAATGTAGACTATTCATGCCAAAATTAGGGTATTTATGAGAGATAAATTTCTTATAACCTCACCCTAAATAATTGTTAAAATTCAAATTCAGAATATCTGAGTTTACAATTGTGATCCCCATAAAAGATTCTCCAAATAATTAAGTTCATAATTTTTTGGGAGAACTACATTTAAACCCTTAAGATTTATCACTTAATTAGTCAGACCTCCTTATATTTGAAATATTATATACAGACTCCTCAAAATTTATATGCGTATAATACTTAAACTCCTGCCGTCAAATATCTAATAGTAAATTACGCACAGATCCCCTAAAATTTGTAGGCGTATAATACTTTAAATCTTTAAATTTAAAATATAATACTTAGACAAAAAATACTTCATCAAAGATTAAATATTAAATATTTTAAATTTTAAAATAAAAATTCATATTCTATTGTATCATTTATTAAATTAAAAGTAAAAATAAAAAAATATTTAAAAAAAATCATAATTAATATACAATCAAAGATAACATTTTAAACTTGCAAGATATAAATATTACATGTTTACAAACTTCAGAGGATTTGAATATAATTTACTATAAGATTTTGACGGCAGGTGTTTAAGTGCTATGCGCATATAAATCTCAAGGAATCTGTGTGTAATATTTTAAATGTCAAAAAATTTGAATAATTAAGTGAAAAATCTCAGGGAGTGTTAGTGTAATTCTCCCTAATTTTTTTTATTGAACAATTATTTAGATGAGCGAAGAAATTAAATTTTACAGTTGCACATAGAAAACCAAATAATAAGACAAACAAGATTTTATTATGCAAAATAACTTCAAAACAATCATCCTCAGAAATCGATCATAGAAATATTGTTCGGAATTTTCTGTGACATAAAAACATTTTCTTATTGGAAGTGAACGTGGATGAGTGCTAACCACTCAGACTCAGCTTGCTCTAATAATGTCTCTTACCATGAAAGAAGGTGATGTATTAACTTTTGTAATCTTAGAGCAATCTTGTAACATTAGAGTAAAAACAAACCGATATAGTAGTACATTAGACTTTTGTTTATAATAGCGAATTGAGAGGTCGTATTCTATTTTATGAAAAAGATTGATTAGTGTAATTGAATTCACTTAATCACTCTCATAATCCACTATATATGATTCATTAAATTTTTTTATTTTATTTTATTTTTGATAAAGGAAAGGGACTGGAACGATCGATAAATATTAACCCGTGACACGTGATCATGAGAATTATTCACTGTGTAATGTCTGATTTAAACAACAGTTATTAACCCAAAGGGAAAAATGTCATTTTAACCAGCAAGAACTTTTTAATTTTTTAATTTCCCCCTCAAAAATTTGAAACCTCACATTACATCTTGATTTTCTCTAAATCGGAACAATATGCTCCGATTAGTCAATGATATGAAACTTTTTGTGAATTAGCATCTCAAATATCACACATAATTAATACTAAGTAAGAATGACAATAGACCAAAGAAAAACAAAAATTCGTTCAAAATTGTCTCGTTCGACTGAGAATTGATTATTTGCCCTAGTATAAGAACTGAGAACACCCTAGAAGGTTTGATGGTTTTTAAATTTTGAGTCATGAACTTTTATTAACTTATTTATTTATTTTAAGTTTTGATAAAATCATGTGATATAGGAATACAACTTTGTATTTTAAGTGTAATAATTTTTTTTCATAAAATTGCAGATATTAATTATAAGGGACTGAGGCAAGAGTAAAGACAGGATTAAAATTTACCTAAGGGGCAGAAATGAGAATGAAAACTTATCTTATTAATAGACGTGGATTGGAGATGAACGAACTTTTTTTAAGTGGGTATGAGCATGAAGATTACTCCCCTGCTCGCACCCTAGTCCACTGTCATTCCTAATACTAAGAGGTGAAATAATATTATGATTGTTTCTAGTAAAAAAAATTGTTTTTTTTTTTATTTTGACCAACTTAATTTTGTTTTTTAATGTCACATTCTTAAAAGTGACATATATTTTACATGTGAAATTTCACGCTCCACGCACTAATTTTGAATGGAACAAAATGGACATCCAAAAGTTGGGACACATTTAGTATTTTGAGAAATTCAACATACGGTTTGCAAAATTTTTAATCTTCCGAGGACTAATTGAAAAATTAAAACCATTAAACCGACAAAACTCCATTAAATACGGGAAAAACAAAACAAGACAAAAGTAAAGTGACTGCCTCCAATAAACAAACAGTAGAAAAGTCATAGGGACAAATTCGTCATTTTAAAAAGTACCGAATCACATTCATTTCTAATGTTGTCCTCTTCGAAAACTATCAGAAGCTGGTGACCCATAAACCCAACCCACCAAGATTTGCAAATCCTTCATCTTTTCTTTCTTCCGATCCTCCAATGAAGAAGAGGCCGGTCAACGACGACGACGACGTTCTAATCACCGTCGACAACAAGAAGATGAAGAAAACCAAACCACAAGAAGATAACGACGAAGCGTCGGAAGATCGGAAAGATTTCGTGTTGTTGGACGACGAGAACTTGCTGTACGAAGTGCTGAAACACGCGGACGCGCGCACGATAGCCACGGCGGCTTGTGTTAGCAAGCAATGGCACAAGACGGCGGAGGACGAGCGGCTATGGGAGCTGATCTGTACCAAGCACTGGATAGACATCGGGTACGGCAACCAACAGCTCCGTTCAGTGGTCCTTGCCCTCGGTGGCTTTCGCCGCCTGTACTCCCTCTACATCCGGCCCCTTTTGAAACCACCTTCTTCGTCGTCTGCCTCGTCTTCTTCTTCAACTTGGCCCTGTCTTCCTCCTACGCCACCGCTTGTTCCGGCGAGATCTACAGCGAACAATAAAACTCGGTGGGGAAAAGATGAAGTAAATCTCACCCTTTCCCTTCTCTCGATTCGCTACTACGAGATGATGAATTTCGCTAATCGAGGCAAATAAATACAATGATCAAGCTCCGATGTTGGTTGGTTTTTCCTCGAATCGATTCTTAATTATGAATTACTAGTTTTCTCTTCTTTTTTTTTTAATTTGTAAGTTCGGATCTGATTGAACTATTATGGCCAAACTAATTATTGTAACTAAAGTGGTGGTTGTTATGTCTGTTTTTCATTTTTGTTGGGGGAAGGTGACTTGGGTTTTGTTGGAAGTTGTGGTTAAATTATGATTAATTTTTTGAGTTGGGCTTCTTGTTATGCCGATTTCTGAGGGGATAACAATGGAAATTGCAAGGATAATTCTAGCAATAGTTTGAGACAGCGTTCTCCATGCTAGCGAGCTTAAAACAACTTGAGTTAGAAAAAGGGACAGGTGAATACTCTCTTTATCTCTTTCGAAACATAAGTTAGTCTAAAATCGAAGAGTTTAGCTCAATGAATAATTTTTTTTTGGTTCAAGTTTACATACTTTTACTTATTTTTCTGAGGTGTATTTATACCTGAATTAACAAAAATTGTCAAAGGTCTCCAGTCCCATCTGGACATCTAACATTTGATATATCATTTTTAGCGCAATGAGTGTTTTTTACTCAGATATCTTCCTATTAAATGTTAGGACGATGGGATGAGCGCTCAGCTAAATGTTGAGCATTTATGTTCTTCCTCGGGTACCCAAATTCCTCAGATTAGCATCTGACATCAACTAAACATTAAATATTCGGAAGAATAGTTCCTCGGGGAGGGGGTCGATTGTGTTGTCTAGGCGTATCAGTCCATTAATACTTAATCATCATGATAGTAGGCCTAGACTCCAAGAGTGTAAAAGCTTGCAAGCGCGTATTTATTTGTCTTGTCACCATCATTCACTCCGCCATAAATGAAGGGCCACGTCGTATTAAATACGATATCAACAGTCGTATTCGACTGCTCCGGATCATCATACTTAGACTTACCTCCTCGATGCCATTTGAACGTCTTAACAGCTTCATTACTCCACGTGTCAATCTAAGGGCTGTAAAGCCACCTAGAGTTCCGTCAGAAACAACACCACACAATTTTACATATGAAAAAACATTGTTTTGAATATAAATGATATTGTTTTGAGGGACAATATCCTGCTGTATAACAGGGGATTCGGACTCGAAATTAACAAAGATGAAGAAAGATGAGAGCTGTTGTCGAGTTCTAGATAATGTTTTTTCTTATGTTGGAGCCCCACAATTTCTGGCACTTCCCAGGGCTTTATTGCATAGAGAGACGGGGAAAAGGATGAAAGTTGTCTTTGTAATCACTTAGATCAACATCCATCTAATGTACAAGTGAATAGAACATGTTTCTGACTCATCTGAGGATTAAGTCGCGCCTTACAATGCAATTTATAATGTGAAAGGGTCAAATTACCTCTCACAAAAATTAGCATCTGTTCCAAAATATTGAGATCAAGCGTAGATTTTGACAAGACGAATGTGGCTAGGCTAGCGCATAATAACTTTCTCTAATAGGGGCTCGTTTTTTTAAATTCCCTTACATGGTGGATATTTATGTTTTCATTAACTAATTATCTTTAACTTGATATTTATTACATTCTATGTGGGGTCGGTGAAAAATTTATTCTAAAAAAAGTTATGTTATTGAAACATAATTTGTTACTCTAATTCACTGTAACATTATTTATTGACATAATTTGTTGACTTACTTCATTAAAACCTTTAGATTAATTACAGACACCCATCAAATATTAGAACTTGGTCTTAATCCAATGATTTCTATAAAGATACATCATTATATCAATAAATCAGGTCAAATTTTTATGTTGAAATAATATTACTCTTTCAAAAAAAGAGAAAGAAAACAAGAGACCTTTTTGCATGGGGCAAGTTGTTTGGGTTAGGAGGTTCCATTGTTAATTAGGCTTTGCCCAGGCCAATTTGGGTCCTCCTAGTATTCTCTGTCGCAGAAATATTTTCCAAACTAGAATCATCATAAGATCTCATGGCCAAGGTTCGTCCATAGATTATTACTGTCGCACCTTTGGTACCTAACTTTAATTTTTTTTAGACAGAAACTTGAAAAATGTCTTATAAGAAAAAAATTGTGTATTGTGTGTCACTATTCTTACTTAAAGCATCCCGGAACAGTGTTGGGCTAATATCTGGACATTGGAGCAAAAAGCTGACCCATCCTCTAGACTTTCCAGGCCGAGCTGCCATGGCCACCTCTAACAGAGTGAGGATGAATACAAAAAACTTGCTATGCAATTGGGGTGGTATGGTTCAAAAATACAAAACAATTAACCTAACACAATCCATATCCAGATTCGGTATCACTTATCCTAAAACTAATGCCTAGTAGATCCTTCGATACCCAATGAAATTGGGGTCTAAAGTAAAATTTATAAATAAAACCATATTAATATTTAATATAATAATAATATTATTATTAAATATTAAATTGTATTCATTTGAAGTATATATTTTTTGTTTTTCAATTCGAAATGAGTAAATAAAAATTAAGTTGTGACATTTTAATTTTTTTTTTTCATATAACATTCTCCATAAACAATACAACTAAATCATTTATAGATTTCTATTTATGGGTCTTATTTATTAAACTTAAAATTTTCTAATTGAGTTATATTCTTATGGGGTCTTTTTGTTAGGACTAAACACATTATAAATGCAAAATTTTGATATGGAATATCAATACACACAAAATTTTGGTACCTTAAATCTGAGTGGGGGCCTAAGCCCAGAGCGTAGTAGTTGGGCTGCCCCTGCTTGGATAAGGTTGATGATTTTTTTAAGTTACTTCTTGAATTGTGATCATAATTCTTTAGTTATTGTCTATCTTTAAAACATCTTTGGTTGAATGTTCACATCTAATTCATTGTCTGAACTTTTTACATTCACTCCCAAAAATTAAAACAGGAATTGTAAATTCTCTCTCTCTCTCTTGCTCGACAGCAACTCAGCGGCTGTGAACAGTTGGTGTCTTGGACTCTTGGGCTAGGCTGAGTCGCTGACCACAAAGACTTCGAGCAAAGACATTTCAGATCTTAAACAAGTGAAAATAGGTACTAAGGGGCTGTTTGGTAACAGTTTTTGTTTTGTGTTTTGTGTTTTTGTTTTCAATTTTTGTCAAAAATGAAGACAACAACATGTTTGGGTACTATTTTGTTTTTGTTTTATATTAGTTTTTTGGAAACAAAGACAAAAAAATGGGAACAAAAAAAATGTTTCAAAAAACACAAAAAACGAAGACAACACGCGCAAAAAAGGGTGGGAATAAATGAGATCTGGACTTCCACTCCTCTTAACAGCAAAACAAGCTTTTTTTTTGTTGAACTATAAGGACTCATTTCAGCCCTTCTCTCCTCTCATCGCTTCGCTCTCTCTGTCTCTCTCTGTCTCCCTCATCTCTTCTTTCTCTGTTATCAGACCACCGGCCTCCATCATTGCTGCCTGCCTCTCTCTCTGTATGAAACCCACCTTAATCACTGCCTCTCTCTCTCCTCTCTCATTCTTTTCTGTGAAACCCATAAGCTGTGCATATATATGCACAGATCGCTGCCTCCAGAATAATCGTCACCTCCATCGTTGCCTCCTATCTCCTTTCTCTGTATGACACCCACCTCCATCGTTATCTCTTTTTCTCCTCTCTCTTTTCTCCCTTTTCTCTGTGAAACCCAGAAGTTTGTGCATATATACGCGCAAATCTGTACATATATACACAGATTTTTGTGTGTGTGGATGCCAAACATATTTTTAGATTTTTTTGGCCTTCCTTATTTTTTTGGCAATGAATTTGATTTCGATGAGTCGATTGCTTTCGGGGCCATTGCTTGGTTGGTATGCCCTAATTTCTTTAAATTAGTTGTAGCTCTGTCGTGAGAAGTGTGGGGGTTTTTTTGGCTGACAGATGTGTTATGTGTGGTTTGGATGAGAAGACTACTGCTCATTTATTCATTTCTTGCTCAGTGGCTCAAGGTGTGTGGAGTAGATTGGCTGCTGGTATGGGTTTTGGAATTGTTCAAGGAGAGCTCCTTATGTGCAGGTTTCTAAGATTGATGAGAGTTTTTCAAACTCAATCTTTAAGTCAATATCTTATCAGAGGGGTGTTTATGCTGCTTTTTTGGGCTTTATGGAAAGAGAGATGTAGGAGGAAATTTGAGGGGGATTAGCTTAAACACGTACGCTATTTTTCTGCAGGTGGTAAGTGCTATGAGGTGGCAATTTTTTTTGATTAGACCTGAGAGAGCTGACGATAGCAGAGGGAAAGAGCTATTGCTGAATTTTAAAATTGGAACTCCTTTCTCTGTAATTACCAAAGTTAAATGGGTCAGGTGGGAATCTCCTCCTGATAATTTTCTGAAGTTAAATGTTGATGGAGTCTCAAAAGAAAGTAGTGACCTGTCTGGGGGTGGAATGGTTGTGAGGAATACACAGGGGCACATTGTTGTTGCAGCTGTTGCCTTTTATGGACCAGGTTATAACATGAGGGCAGAATGTAGTGCTTTGCTTGATGGATTGAAAATGATTTTGAGCAATAATTTGGAGGGCTTTCAAGTCTATATTGAGTTTGACTCAAAAGTGTTGGTTCAAATGGTGTTGAGCCAAGCTGAAATACCATGGAAATTGAGGGATATTATGGTGCAGATTTGGAGGAGTCTTGACAAGTTGAAATTCAAGTTGAGTCATATATATAGAGAAGGTAATGCCATAACTGAGTTTTTGGCTTCCCTTGCTGTGCAGTCTGGCAGGAATTTTGTGTTTTCTGGAAATGATATTCTGCTTCTTGCTGGGAGAGTACTTTTACAGCAGGAGATGAAGATAGATTACCTACTACTAGGTTGAAGAAAGTTGTGGTGTTTGATAAGAGGAATGGAGCTGGATGAGATTTTTTGTTCCCATAAACAGATTTCCTGGTTTTTGATCCATTCAAGGATTAAAGCCAACTTTGGAATTTTTGAGAAATTCGGCTGATTGGTGATGTTGTACTGCATTTTTTGCTCAAATTGTGTTATAAAACATATTTAGGATAAAACTTGAATTAGTTACCAAACATATTTTCTGTTTTTATTCTCATAATTTGATAGACAAAAATGACTACCAAACATGTTTTCTGTTTCAGTATTTACCACATAACAAAAACAAAAATTGTCTCTGTTTTTAGTTTTTTGAAAACACAAAAACAAAAACGTTACCAAATGACCCATAAATCTCTCTTAAATCCTTGTGTTTGTTTTGTGTTTTTTATGTTTATGATGGCTAATCTGAAGCGGGGTGTATTTT